CTCCCACTTAATTTCATGTCATCCGCAACTTTACTGAGGGTGCACTTGATCCCCTCATCCAGGTCATCATGCTTAACAATAACCAGAGGTGAAGGCTGGCCAGGGGGCTCCTTCTTGAGAACTGGCTCAGCACTGGTCAGATGGTGGTGATCAATTGTTTTCATTTACCTCACTTCTCTGTCTTGGGTTTTATTTCTCTCTGTTTGTTATTTTTACTTTCATTACATTATTAGTGATATTAGTATATTTCAGTTATTAAATTGTTCGCATCTCAACCCATGAGTTTTCTCACTTTTACCCTTTTAATTCGCTTCTACTCATCCTGCAGAGGGAGAGGAAGGAGTTAGTGGCTGTGTGATGCTTAGTTGCCAGATAGTGTTATACCAAAAGAAAGGGAAGGTTCAGTTCCCTCAGCCTACACTCCTATTGCAGTCCTGGAAGTCAATGGCTGCCTTTATCACAAGGGTGTACTGCTGGTTCATGTTCAGCTTCTGGTCTGTAAGGACCCTTCATAATTTTTCTTTAGGAATTGCTGCTTACTACAGAAATACCCAGTACAATATAACTGAGAGTAGAATTTCTCTAGGAGTATGATTTTGAAGATTTCTACATTTCCCTGCAAATTAAGATAATAAACATCTCAAACAATTGTACCATCACAATGTTGGAACTTGTGCAGATTTGCTGAAAAATCTTTCCCCTTTTTTCTTTCAGTCCTTTTTAGTGTTGACTTGAAGTGTTTGACTGTGTAAAGGAATCACCTCATGAAACATAAATAATAACTTGCAGATTCAGTGACGAAAGCTTGAGGAAACAGTTTTGGCACAGGGGAATGCTATTGCTACTCTTACACAGTAGCAATAAATCTCAGTTTTTTATAGCATCTTTGTTTGTTAGTGAAGCCTCCCTCACTGTTGTTCCTATGTCTTCATCCCAAACTAGTTTCTCACTGAGACATCACGGGGAAGCCCCTGTGAAGCAGAAGGTTTGACCTGAGTTGAACAATAACTCCACATGTTTGCCTGCTTCCTTACCAAACTCAGAAGTGAAAACATTTTCTGCTTTGCTTTTTAGCCTGGGAACAAATTCCATTAGGACCTTGCAGTGCTACTTCTGACTTCTGAGCTTTTAGCCTTGCCAATCCTGCTGCTTGCCAGTCAAGGGAGCACTTCTAACACTACAGCCTAGCTGCACGGGATGAGTTGTTGTCTGGCTTCATAGTGGGTTGCTGCAAACACTTGGCATTTCCTATTGGATGGTTTCACACCATTTCACCCTGAAATCTGCACTGCCTTGCTACTCCAGCATGGACCAGCCACTGCTTCTGGCAAAGCAGTAACCTTCTAAACATACATTTGTCAGACTCCTAACGTTTTGTTACAGATCTGTCGGACTGGACAGTGACCTCTTACTTCTCCAAGAACATTTTAAGGCCTTGCTCTATAAATATACAGAATAATTCCATAGAATATTGTACAGCATGTAAGGGTCTAGCACAAAGTTTACTTTTAAGCTTTGTTATCTAAATCTTACCATTCCTTTTATATGAAATCAGAGGTTTCAGCCTATGATAGTGTGAAATATGTAATTTTCCAACATAGGAACATGGTTAAACAAGTTCATTGCTACATATAGCAATCTACTGCCTTTAGCTGACTTCTTTTAACTGTAATGCACATGACCCAAACTCTTGGTTTCAACCTCAGTGAATGTGCTCCAAGTTTGCAATAAAGCTGATTTTGAACCAAACACATTTATTTACTACGAGTGAAGTTGCCTGCACACTATCATCAGGTTTTGACTCTGATAAAAAAATACTTATGAGATACCATGATGAGCTACATGCCCAAGAGTCAATGAGTGAGACTAATATGACAAGATGTAGCCCAGCAACCCTTTGGACACAAAGGGAATGTGTTCTTCTCCATTGCAGAACATCCCTTTTCCCAGGCTCACTAAATGCTCTCACATTGCTCTAGACTCACACACCAAAATCAATGTACATCCTCCCTCAAAAAGGGTAAGGATGAATGAGCAATGATTCTCCATTGCCAGACCCTCACAGTTTAAGATGATGGTCCATTTCTTCCTACAAGAGTTGTGACAGCTGTTTTAGCTACTCTTGACCTTTATTCTCCCATGCTAGCACAAAGTTCCCATTTTCTCCTTTTGGCCTTTTCAACATGATATCCTTTCACAGACAGGGATGTGGATTTCTTTGAGCTATCGTCTGGGCATAAAAACACAAGCTGATAATACCATAGTAATGAGGTAGTTCATGAGTGCGCCAGCTCTGTTTCTTCTGAAGCTAAAACACCTCCAAAGCAGTTACTTCTTATAGAATGTTAGGGGTTGGAAGGGGCCTCAAGACATCATAGAGTCCAACACCCTGCCAGAGCAGGACCATCTAGTCTAGGGCAGGTCACACACGAACACATCCAGGCGGGTCTTAAAAGTCTCCAAGGAAGGAGACTCCACAACCTCCCTGGGAAGCCTGTTGCAGTGCTCTGGAACTCTTACAGTAAAGAAGTGCTTCCTCATGTTGAGGTGGAACTTGCTGTGTTCCAACATGTACCTATTGAACCTTGTCCTGTCGAAGGGCATAAGTTAAAAGAGGCTGCCCATTTCTTCTTGATGCCCAGCCCTCATATATTGATACACATTAATTAGGTCCCCCTTAAGTCTTCTCTTCTCCAGACTGAAAAGCCCCAGGTCTCTCAACCTCTGCTCGTACGGCAGGTGTTCCAGTCCCCCAGTCATACTCCTTCTTTCGTTAGGCAATGGGATTGCAATAAGGAACATAAATGAAGAATAATGCAATACAACAAAGATTTGGAAACTTTAGTTCTTCATTTTTAAGTGTTGCCTCCAATGTTCCTGGATGTGATCATAAAAATAAATATTTTCATATGTTATCTATCACCAGAAAAAATACAAAAATTACTAGAACTGAAAGCTTTTGAAGCAATAGTACTTATCAGCTATTGCAGTGAAGCTGTTGACTGGAACATAACATTGCATTCCTGTCTGCCCTAGCATTTATGTTACCATTCACTCTTGTTGAAAAATACCTACTGCTACTGTGAGGGATCTTTCTATTATCGTCACTATTGTTACAAAATAGTCCAACAAAATAGCATTCTAAGACTGTGAACTGTCTGTCATGTTTGAATTATTCTTTCGCTAAAGGCTATTTTTCAGTAAAAGTTACTTGGATTTAGTAAGAATGCCTTTGAGATGTTTTGCCTGAAATGCTTATTACAGACCAATACAGCTCACATAACTCTTGCCGTTAGGGCTTAGAATTCTCTGATTTCCTAGGATTCAGCATTTTTAACTAACAAATTTTTTTAAAAGCTAAATCTCTAAAAATATGTACAGAAATGAAAGAGTAGAACTTATGCTACAGAGGAAAGAAAAAAAGAACATGTTTTGTTCATGTGGGCTGCAAATACAATTTATTTCATATTTTGTATCTTTGCTCTCTTTCCACAGTGAAATCAGATGAGTTGCAAACAATCAAGAAGGAACTAACCCAAATCAAAACAAAAATTGACTCGTTGCTAGGGAGACTGGAAAAGATTGAAAAGCAGCAAAAAGCTGAAGCAGGTAGGTGAAAGCAATTTGTAGCCAAATGAATTAGCTCAGTTATCAGTCAAGCAGACAGACTAGAGAGAATGGAAAACTTCCAGAAATTTTGTTGCATAGTGGAGGCCTGAAACAAGGTAAATCAACTCTTATGTAGAACTACTGGGAGGATAAATTAATATCCTTCACAGAGCATGCAACATACTTTAAGGAATTGTTTCCTATTGTGTAGGAGGAGAGAAATTAAATAAAATAAAATATAACATAACATTCTTACTAGATGTATTGGAAACAAAACATCACTCAAATTTTGACAGGGCAGAATTAAGTTAGAGGTTGGTGACCTTGAGAATGCTTATGCTATTCACATTAAGAAGTATTAGATGGTCTGTATCAGGAATTATTGCCTGGTCAATAGGCAATAGTCACAAATTGCAGCAAGAGAAATTTCTGTTTGCTGTAAGGAAAAGAGATGCAAACAAGCAGTATAGCTTGTTGTCCAGAGAGAGTATAGTAGCTCCATCCTTGCAGGTATTCAAAACCCATTGGGCCCAGGCTCCACGGACCTGGCCCAAATTTTGAGTTTGGTCCAGCTTTGAAGAGGGATTTGACTTGGAGAGTTCAGAGATCTCTTCCAGCCTAACTACTGTGTGAAACTGTGATATCATTGTAAAACCAGCTGCACCTCTAGTTCAGCTTTTCTTTGCCTTGAAATGTTTTGGTTTGAGGCAAACCTCGGGAATGGCAAAATCCAACACTATTTTTTTAATTTTGCCAAGATTTCTATCATTGCAGGGATCAGTTTTCAGCTGAGTGATCTAACCTGGCAGCACTTTAAAGTCATATTGAGCAGTTATAAGAGACTTATAAGGTTGCATTTTCACCACAGTATATACAGAAAACAATCTCGATTCTTATCACTGTCTATGGTATTTCCTTGGCTATTTCCTTATAAGTCACAGAGTATATCTCTGCTAAGGAGCTGTCTACTAATGAGCTGATGTTGATGAGAGACAGTAGGGAAATGGAAGCCTTATCTCATGAAAAATCTCAGCATTCCTTTTTCTTTTCCTTCCTGCATTCTTGTTTAAAACTTTTTATGTGTTCTATGTGAAATGTGTGAAAGAAATTCTGCCTCAGAATGCACAGTTGCCTGGGTGTCTGAGCACTCAGATTTGTGTCCCTTGCCTAAGTCAAACCAGTTACGTGAAGCAAAAAGAGGGCACATAACGACTATTAAAAGCATTGGTGGGAATTAACAGTTCAGGTTCATGAACCTGACACAGGCAAAATAGGTACTTAGATCTGGATCCCTGATGTTCCCAAGTACCTGGCCAATTTCCTGATTTGTTGTGAAGGTATGTCTCTGAACCCAGAAATTTTCTCCCATCATTCAGAAATAACTCTAATGAACATCTTCCTAGGGCAGAACACTATAGAAAACTATTTTGTAACAAGTTAAAAAAGAAAAATACCAACCAAAGCAAGCTCTTTAAAGAAGACTACCTTTTATTTACAATCATTTCCTAAGTTGGCAGACAAGGACCAATCCCTTAGCTGTTACAGTTTACCCCACAAAATTAGTTGAGTGTGTTTTCTTCATGTTTGAAGTAAATCATTATTACAGTGGGCGATTATCTCTTTCAGGAGAACTATACACAATATGTGTTCATTATATTCTATTTTGTACTTCATGCAAGTTAGATAAAAGTCGGTATAATCAGTAAAGATGCAATTGCAAGGCACTCCATTGAATCACTTTTATACTGAAATGCTCTGAGATGGCACATCCCTACTTCAGGAAGCTTTTAAATAAAATCCATTACTATGCAAAACAATCTGCATGTCATTATACTTTGATATCCAATTTTCACTTTTGCTAAAGGACTGTAGTGAACTCATTTAACTAGAAATCAGCTCAAAGAGGAAAATGTTTATTTGTATTGAATCATACTGTTATGCCTTTTGAAGACAGGCAGTGAATAATAAATTCAGAGATTAAAAACTTTTTTTGAATTGTTGATGTTTTAAAACATCAGGTGCAGAACCTGGCCCCATATTCCTTGCCTCTCATCAGAGGATGTGAGGAGAAAAAAACACCTCAAAGATACTAGTAAACCTGAATCCCTGTTTAAGCTTCCTGAGCTGATGAAGAGGGTTATGCAGCATGGGTGATTAGGCCACAGGTGATTGCTTCTTCAGCTAAAAGATTTGTGTAAGATAAAGCTACAATAGTAGCGGTACTAGTTCATTTAATATGTCCAATGCAAGATGATTTTGTTCCTTCTCTATGGTTTGACAATATTATTTCTTACTTTCCTCTGTAAGAAGGTGTGACCTAAGATCTGAGACAGATGAGAGAGCAGATCCATGTCTTTTTACACAAAGCAAAAATCAAGCCATCATCTTGTCCTCTTGGGTTGTGGTTTTTTTGGTTTTTTTTTTTTTTTAAGTTTGCGTCACTCTCATGAAGAATATTTAATTATTAACCTTAAAAGTTATACATCTGGAGGAATGTGGTAGGTTAAAAAGACAGGTTGGACAGCTCAGTTCATATATTTATTACTACTCTACAGTTGCATGAAAACTCTCCTGACAGTAACAGCTGATGTTCTGTCTTTTACCTCTACCAACCCCTGACCACTCCAATAGAGGAAATACAGATAATACGATTTTCTGTACATAGCAAAACTGCAGAAATAGCTCCTTTCTTTGTAAAAATCTGAATCAGAAAGCCAAGGACAAGAAGCTGTTCTGATGTGAAAAAACTGTTAGAGAATATTATCCCTGTAATATCAGAGGTGAGAGTCGAAAGGTAGGATCTAAAGTTTAACTTCCCAGAGGAGCCCAAAAGAGTTAGATGCTGTGCTAGTATTTTAGACTCCTCTGAAGAACCTAGTCTATGTTCTCATTCAGACAATTAAGTGACCTAATTTTTTTAGCAGCTGCATCCTAAAAATTTTCACATTTAGATGTATGAAGTCCCTAATTTCAGGAACCCTTTTTGAAAACCTTGACCAAATTTAATTCAATTGTCACTGCCACAGCTGGGTTATTCTCAGAAGTGGCTTGGGGCAGAAGGCGGTGGGGCAGGACATAGTAGGCATAGCTGATTCCATCCACATTTCCTTACACAGTAAGGCAAGTAACACAATGACTTAAAACTAGCATCATATTGTGTCAAGCATCTTACCAGTAGATGATAAGGCCCTGTGAGCTGAATATTCTACTAATATGTGTGACTACAGTACTGTTGTAGTACTTATCTAAGATGGCCCGAGAATCATTCTGAAGAGATTTTGTGACTAAGGGAGTAAAACTTGTTCTGTATCTTCAGTAAATTACTTTGAAAACGAGTGACTAGAGACTAACAAAGACTGAAGAGATGAAAGTAAATTGCAAAATAAATGTGCAGAGGTAGAAAGAAAATCATAGTCTTAGTTTAAGACTATGACACAGAAAAGTACCAGCAGATTTGAATATTATATGCAGCTGGTAATAATTTATAGTAAAATAATAATATATTTATAGAGCTGAAAAATACAGATCTTCACAGGGAATCTGCAGATTCATTGGCCGTTAAACAGGATAGGTGATGCACTACTAGCATTACAGAACAGTCAAATAAAGAGAGAAATTATTTTGTTCTAGAAATTTGATAATTGATGGATATTGTCACCTTCCGACTGAAAAGACACTGGTATTCCAGCTACATTCCACCAATTCTTTGGCCTGTATTGACTTCCAGTACATAAAGCTTTTAATCTAAACTCCTCATGTGCATAGGAATAAGATTCTCATCTCTCCAACCACTCTTTTGGCCCGTCTGTCATTTCTCCTCTGGAGTTCTGCTGGATGGAAATTCTTCAGCATATTCAGGATAATTAAATCAATGCAATGCTCTGGGCTAAGCCAACCAGAACAGTAGCCTCCATGGAAATGGTCTTCCTTTTCACTGCTTTGCCAAAATTATAGAAAGCCTCTATTTGCGTAATTGGATGGGGAGTTGTCCAGTTAGCTCAGCACATTATACCAACGGGGAGAAATTGTTACTTCACCCTATAAAAAAATATGTTCAGTTGTCCAGAAAGATTTGTTGATTATCTATATGGTTGTTGAGATACATTGAAAGGAATTTTATGCAAATTCTTGGTTCACTTATTGGTAGCTAACAGCTTCCCAAGCCTCAGAGCATAGAGTTTTATGTACTTATTATTGGTTGCAGGCAAATAAATACATAGTGACTATGCCAACTGGATTCCCAAGGCAAAGCAAAGACCAGAAAATCAAAAAGCTAGACATGCTGGTAAATCAAAACTTCAATCACTGCACAGGATGGATGAGCATGTTGGTAGTCTGGTTGATTTATGCTCTAATTTTTGAAAAAAAGACGTTTTTGCTGGTAGATATTAACACAACACACATATCTGGAAACGGAATGTTTAAGGTTTCTTCCTCAGAGCACATTTCTTTGCCACCAAAAGGGAAGGTTATTGAATCTCTATAGAGTATGTTTTCCTTACAGAAGCTCAAAAGAAAAAAATGGAAGATAATGCTGATTTGATTCAAGAGGAATGCATATCAGAGAATGCAGATAACTCTACAGAAGAACCAATTGAAGGAGGGCCAGATGCAGATGGAGAAGATATGACTGATGGGATAGAGGAGGATTTTGATGAGGATGGCAGCAATGAGCTGGTAAGGAATAATCATGCCATGTCTGTCTGTAGAGTTGCTACAAGTAACCACAGAGAACAAACAGCAGCACTGTGATGTTCTGTAATTAGTGCCTAGTCCTGCATTCTTCCTACACTGTAGTATCAATTAAGCATAGGATCTTCTAAGGATAAGCATGAAAAACATATTTTTCTACAATTTATGATTTTAGGAAGGAAATGAAATGTACTTTAAATTACATATATCATTTTATATTTACTGAAATGTAGATGAGAAAGAAGTAGTTGATGTGCTCTTTTTTTTTAACGTGGAACATTTTGAAATTAATATAGACTCTAGAATGAAGAATTTTCCCATTAGTAACCATATGCTTCCTCATAATCCCCAGTTTCTGTCTCCCATATGTATCTTCCTCAGGCTTCATTGGCAGCTACAGATCTTTTTTTTGATGGAAGGATTTTTCCTTAAGTTTGAGTTTTCAGCCTGAGCCTGCACCTTTCATGAAATGCCCATCATATCATTAAAATTCTGTCTTTCTAGTGAAATGCTGGGGTTTGAACCCCAAGCCCCGAATTGAGGTTGACATATGGGTGATTCCCACAGCCCTTCATAAAGAGGTGGTGAGTTTGCCTTATAGCTTCCCCCCAGGGTGCGGCCGGCCCTGCAGGGAGAGCCATAAGGGAAATGAGCCCCAGGGTCCCGCACTGAGTTGACAAAGGTCAGGTGTCTGCTTGGGGATAAAAGCTGGGACCACTTGCAGGGAGTCAGGAGTGTCTGTCTGTGGAGTGCACTCCACAGAGCTTCCTGGTTCAGGGCAGACCTCCTGACTCTCCCTGGAGCTGGGGCCCAGTCTGTTTAGACCTTTGTGAACATGGGTCGATCGGGTGAGCGTCACCATGTGGGCACCTTTCTCTTATGTATTTAACTTACTGGTTTGGCTGTTTCCCATGCCAACTGTGGGAAACCTCGGGTCTCTGTTTGTACCACCTGTTGTGTGCCGAGTCACATCTTTTGTGGGATTGTTGGGGGTGGTGTCGTTTATGTACCAGCTGATTGACTTTTTTGTACCCCCAGCGATCGTTCATGTCACGATGTTTCTGATTACAATACAGTCTGCGTATGGGTTTCTCTTTCTGCTGGCTGTATCATTCTTGTTGGGCCTGGTCATTGGCAGGACATCTAGAGAAAGATTAAATATTTTGTTGAAAGTCAGATTTATATGTTTTTATTCATTCCTCAGAATAGCTCACAGTTGTTTAGACTCTATAATACTCTCCCTCTTTTCCCATCTTTTATATTTTTCTGCTTTGAGCAGGAGTTACTTCTGTTCAATGTCACTGTCCCTGCTGGCCTTTTTATACACATTTAATCATGTGTGCACTGGCAAAACCATTCAGTGAAGCCAGAAGAAGTTAGTCAGCAATGGGCACAGCTGAACCAATACCACGTTTGGTGCAACAGGGCAGGTGTATTACCATTGTTTTGTACCTCTTGCTGCAAATGCAGTTTAAACATACTGCTAATTGGAGGGTTTGTGTCCTTTTAGCCACGACAAGGCCCTCTTGAATTTATAAATCCTGAATCCCATCATCTTTTAACATAAATGATATTATCACTTTTTCTCAAAGGGACAGGTTTTCGTGTACAGATAGGAGGGGCATCTGTAAGAAGTTGCCTCTCTGAATTTTCAGGAAGTTGAATTTTTTTGTAATGAATAAATAGGTAAATGTAGTATCCCTCCACAGCTAATACTTGATCAGCTGAAGTGATATTAGCAATTGGTGTGACCACAGTTTAACAAGACTGATGAGCTTTGCACACATTGTCAGACTCCCTACTGCAGACAACCAAGTGATGAAGTTAACATACAGTATATTATCCTCTGATTATTCACTGCTGTCATTTCAGCCTGTGGCTATAACATATTTGGCATATATCTGCACTATATAATGAAGCATGATACAGAAAAGTGGTTTTTCTAGCAAAGGCCTAAGCTGGAAATTTTCTAAAAAGCAAGAAGTGCAGTAAGACTTCATTAGCAGTGAAAGTCTGGAACTAGTACGGACAGATTTGCACACCAATGTTTCCAAATGAAAAAGCCTTTCTGGTATTTATGTTACAGAGTTAGTTAAAGCACAGTGTGTTGCAGACACAGGTCCAAAACCAGCTCAGAGGTCTGAGCCACACATCTAAGGAATGGGGAAGAGATCCTCATGCCATTACTGAATGCCTTGAGTGCCAGGAAGGGGCAGCTCACTGCACATGGAGAGTGGCATCCTCTGCCTGGCACTCATGGACGTTATGCCCCCAACCCCAGGACAGAGGTAGCCAGGAAAGGCCAAGAAAGAACACTTACATGCATCGTCTTGGTCAGTTGCAGCCTGTCCCAGAGGTGGGGCAGTGGGGCCAGTCGGCCTCATGCCTTCCACGTTCCCAAGCACTGGGACCCTCCAGCTAAGAAGCTTACAGTATTGTAGACTTGAAAGCTCAGAACCAAGATTGCCACTGATGCAAAATCCTTGTGCTTTACATCCACACCTACCATTTTCCTCAAGCTTTGGAAAAGGCTGCTTTACCTTAGATTTCCTCCCTTCTACAGTGGGATAATAACACTTTCTTTGTTTTGCAAAGCCTAGGGAGATCAGTGAATGAAAAACTGCTATGGGTGGGATAAAGGATTCCTCTGCAAAGAATTATTTCAAAGAAATCTTAGACAGTTGGAATTTCCCACAGAAAAGCAATTATAAATTGAGCTGTGAGTGTTTCCTTTTCGCTCTTTACCCAAACACTCATCAGTATTGGCCAGTGCTGTTCTAATATGAAGCTGGTAGTTTATAATGTCTATCGCAACTTAGTTTGTTTTTCACTTATATCTAAATAAATACCTGTAAGTGTAATGGCCACCTCTTGGTATAAGTTTTACTTTCCACTCCAGTCACTGATAGCTGTATAACTGGAAAGTCAACAAGAATACTGTCAAATATATGGTAGGAATATTTGGGATTTCAGTCTGCTTCTACTCGTTCTGTACCCTGCTATCTGGCATTACCCTCTGTTTTCTGAAAAGTAAAGTAGTTAGTTAAGCTTGTTAAAAAACAAGAAGTCCTAAAAAATGTAATTCTCTTATTTTATGAAAACTTATTTAGGAAAAACAGCTGAATAATAGCAAATGTGTCATTTTGGAATGGAGCAAGTTAGGACTAATTTGAGGGGGGGGAAAAAATTAACTATGAGAACTGTTAACTGTGAAACAGTTAGGGCAAACTTTCCATGTGTAAAAACATAACCTTGGATTCAGAATAAGGAATAACTCTCCAAAGGGCATTTTTTAATGAAATCTATAATCTTTTCCAAAGATACAGCTGAAGGGATTTAGGATGATGATAAAAAAAAAATAAAAAAATCTTTCATCACTAAGAGCAGCAGAGCAAATAGAGAAACATTTGGAATAGGCACAGCTAATGTCCTGAAGTCAGTTCAGCACCAAAAATTTCACTAGCCTGAAAATGGAAAGAGGAACACAATTTAAATTTAGATCTTAACCTTTTCTGCAATTCTTCATATTTAGTTGCAAATCTGCCTAGCCATTTGCCAATAATGAAAGGCTACTACAGGACTCTTGATGAACACTATACTGTTGTCTATTTTTTGCTTCCCTTGTGACCAGCTCTAAGTCTGTCAATAAACAGAAGTGTTCAGTAAGGACAGTCCTGATGCCAGAGTCCAGATGCTTCCAGAATAGACCCTCTGAATTTATGTGGGTTTGCATCTTTGGACTAGATGACTCAAAAATATATTTCTTTCTCTATTCCCAGTTTTATCTTCCAAAGAAAGTGACTATGTAGGAAGTATGCTGTGGGTTCAGGCGCCAAGGATTAGTTCTCTGAACTTACACAATGTCTGTTGGGAGGAACAGGTTACTGCCCATTAACTGAGTAATGGCAGCTGTCCTCATGCCTGCTTTCTGCCCAGACTAACTCTAAAGAAATGCAAAGTGTTTAGCCTGCAGTCTGAGTTAAGTCAGGCATGGATTTAAGGAGGCTTCAACCTCTTCATTTGCCTGCCTGGCTGCACACATAAAAACACATCGTATTCAACAGCTGCACACCTTACTCATCCACCGTTTAGATCAGGATGTTGTTCATGCTTCTATTGTCATTTTCTGTAGACTAAATACATGCCCACAAACAGTCGTTGTGGCTCAGCTGAAGTGTGAAAAAGTTTTATGACCATAATACCTAGATTGCCCACCTGAACCCTAATTCAAGACAAGCTGCATTTGAAGTACCTGCTGCAGTCATCGATCACCTCTTGGGAAACTCATTTTCGCAGCACAGTCTAACACATGTTTTGATATTTGAGAAAACAACTTGGCCTCAGCACCTCTAAAACAAGCCCTTTCTCTTTAAAAAGTAACATTACCAGCATGTGGCTCTGTTGTAAGCATGGGGAGAAGCATTTCTGAATTAGCATGCGCAGTGGTTTCCTTACTCTGCTGATTTAGCAGCTGGACAACACATTGCAAACCCACAGTATCATGTAACTTCTTTGAACTTGTTTCAAATGGCACTAATTGATCATCAGGGAAGCACTGGCTCAGATAGAAATATTACCTATCATCACAACCCCCTTGTAAATATCAAACGTAGCATTCAATTATTTAGCTGAAAGCCTGAAGTATTGTGGATTTGGAAAAAAAGCATCACTTTCAACTAATGTTTAATAAAATATCAGCAAGCTAATTAATTGGAGTGAGTTATACACAAGCACTCATATCTATATTATATTGCCTGAGAAGCATAATTTCTATCAAACTGTCAACCTTTCCTAATAAATAACTATAATAATAGCAAAGCAGTGGTTCTGTATTTAAGCATTCAGTAGAACAAACTGTTTTCTGGTAGAGCACGTGATCCCAATGATTTCAAATATAATAGATTTACAGTATTGTAACTCAGATCAGACTCTGGCTAGTGCTTGGCTGGAATTTGAAGGATATATTCATAGTTGCAGCATTGTGA